TAGTACAGGTATGTAACAAAGCGGTTTCTCTGTATTTGACCCATCCTAGTGTTAGGAGCAGTGTAGGGAACGGTGCCTTGCTCAGGGACACTAGCACTTGGTCTTTCCGGGACTTGAACTGGTGACCTTCCAGTTGCCAAGCCAAGTCCCTATGGACTTTGCCGCCACCGCCCTTAGAGGAGCGTGAAGCAGACTCTGATGGGGTCTGTGAACAGTTATCACATTTACTCCAGGCATGTGGGCTATGTGGCTGGTTTGTCAAAGCTGATGTAATGATCTCCCCCCCTCTCTCCCTCTCTCCCTCCCTCTCTCCCTCCCTCCCTCTCTCCCTCCCTCCCTCTCTCCCTCCCTCTTGCTGGCTCTCCCACCTTCCTTTTCTGTCATCGCTCTGCCAGCCTCCCTTTTCTTTCACGCTCCCTTTCTCTACTCTTTTCTTGGCCCACTGGCCGTCTTAGCCACATCCTCTCTGACCATCTCTGCTTCATGCTACCTCAACCAACTGCTTACCTTTATCTCTCTCTCTCCCTCTGCCCCAGCCCCCTTCTTTTCCAGAGTGCATGTCTCAGAGTGGTCTATGTAGGGCTGGCTGATAGCTGGCTGTGGTTTTCAGTTGTATTTGTGAATGTCCTCATGTTCAGCCCTATGGCAACCACTTTTAAAGCCTAGCGGATGTTTCAGATACATGCATACATTGTACTGGATCCATGCAAATGCTGCTCTGTATGTCATGAATTATTCACTTTGTTTTCACTGGGCTGGAGCGCAAGAGAGGGGCTGAGAGGGGATGGGGTAAGGAGATCTGAGTTTAAGAGAGAAAGGGCTGTTAGCTCAAGCATGGGAGCTAGCCTCCTTAAGATTCAAGTCCACTCTCTTAATGTTCCCAAGAAATGGGATTTAGACAGAGAATCTGGACTGCAATGTTCACCTATAGATAGTATTTTTTTGAGTTAGCTATTTTGCCAACCAAGTTTATAACATGTATGGCATATTATCACAATATACTATAAATATTATTAGAGGTGAAGGAGCATTATATGGAAATGTGATAGCCCCTCTTTTTCAGGCCATATTCAAGTTCGTTTAAATGAAGCTGTTGAACCTTTGCCAAGGACTGATGATTTATCCCATTATGTTGTTTTATACAGTGTATGTATATTAAAGTGGGTAAAGATAACTCATTCAGTATGCAGCTTAACATAACACTGTTAGTAGGGCTGTAACTTACAAACCTTTTTCATCAATATTGATTAATATTTGTTTCAATTCATAGATTAATTAAATGAAATGGTGGAAAATAGCCATGCCAATTCACTTAGGTGGTGTTTACAAATTGCTTGTGTTGTGTGACCACACATCTCAAACATTTAACTTTTTTGTCAGTTTCAACCTAAGAATAGCAATACATTCTTACATTTGGGAAGCTAGAACCGGTATATTTTACATGTTTGTTTGATAATGGCTGCAGCAATGAATGATCCACATTTTCTCACTTGCTTATTCATCAGCTACCATATTGTTTGAACTCTAGTTGTAGAATGACATTATCATACATACACCCTGAATCTGTAATCTGCCAGAATAGACCATAGAACACAAACCATAATCCTTTGTAAATGTTCTCTTTTTATGGCCATTTTTCCAACCAAATAACTTTATGTAGATCTCTTCCAGAGCTGTTGCCTACAGAGTTGATCCTTGTATGATGCAAGCAGGATGAAATCCCTCCCTGGCCCTGCTATCAAGGGGAATAATTTGTCTTTCGGCAAGCCATTTTAGCTCTTTTTGCCACATTCCCAGAATTATAGCATTCTAATAGATCTGATCTGTGATCTGTTGTTATTCATTAACAGTTTACTCACATATCAGTCATTTTGAAACATTCAAGTGTTGCATTCTGGCTGATGATATTGACAAAATGCTCAATGTGTTGTTTGAACTACTAACAAAATATGGTGTCAGTCATTGGAGCATGTTTGTATTCCATCGTGTCCTCTTAAAGTACACAAAGACCCATTTTGCCAGCAGTGCAAGAGCACAAAATTGCTTTCTAAAATGCGATTATTGAGCCCCACTACATGGTCTAGGTAAGAGTTATCAATTTTCCTCGCCAGGCTGAAGGTGAAAACATGCAGGGTGATCTGCTAAATCCTCTTATGTATTAGGGCTACCTGCCGTGCTCTTTCTCCAATGCTAATGGGATTACATGCTGTAGTGTCCAGCAGTGGCACAGCACTCACCAGCACGCCTCTGTGGGGAAGGGGTATACATATAACTTGCCTTCTGCTGCTTGTGTTTAATTTCCCAACACATTGAATTGCATTGTTTCAAGCTAAAAGAACATTTCCATGGAGAGGAAATAAAACAACCCAACATACTACAGGTTTAAGGGACAATTGTAATGGCCAAATTACTTACATAAACATGTGTCCCCTCTGTGTAAAGAGATTCTGAAAGTTTCAGGAAAAAAAAAGATTCTCTCACTTTTTGTCCTGATTCATTTATATAAAAACCTGTCTGGAAATGAGCTGATCAGATTTTGGCCACTTTATGATGTCATAACGATTTTTTAGCTTGTGTAACCATTAGCCAATCACCAACCAAGGTAACACCCCCCCCCCCCCCCCCTTATCACCTGAATCTCCCCCTAGAGCACCATTGGGTTCTTTTTAACCAAATATCTCTCAGAGGGGCGTGGGGAGTGGCTCCTTATTTTCATCTAAAGTAACAGACACAGAATCAGCCCTTTTGAAACAGGGCTGAAACAGAGGGGATTATGGGTAATGCTACAATGCATGATCTGCTTGATATTTGGAGCCTAACACTTCAGAGACATGTTTTGTATATATCTGAGACCTATAATATATTGATGAAAACCAGTATAATAGGAGACCTTTAAAATAAGATGGCAAGATTTGAATCTTAGGTGTGACACCCTTTATAAAAACACTTCAGTTGCCACCAGCTCTCAGAAAACAAAACGAATATCACTGCTATTCGCGCTTGTCTTGTAATAATTGGACTATGAGGTTTTCTTAGAAAAGGTCAAATGTTGCGTCCCAAATTACCTAATTTAAATACGTTCAAATCATAATAATGAGTAAATATCCCTGCAGTCGGTATGTTTGCATGAGTCCCTTGTGTGTGTTTGCTTGCGTATGTGTGTGCATATATATTTGCACGTGCGTGTCCACTCAAGAGCTCACATTATCTTGTGTAACCGCAGATTCAGAGATTTCATCACTTGTAATTTCCCAGAAGTGCTTGCTTTAAATTCCACACAATAACCCCCTAATCCCACCAGGAGCGTCTGCGCTGCGTTGCGCTGCGTTGCGTTGCGCTGCGTTGCGTTGCGCTGCGTTGCGTTGCGCTGCGTTGCGCTGCGGCTGCGGCGTTTTTAGCGATCGCGGCCACTCTAGTCAATGGGTGCTATTCCACCAGACCCGCTGCGCCGCGGCTCGAAGCGTCCCAGAAGCTCCTCGCCGCAAGGAATTTCTAAAATATAGGATTAATCCTATTTTTGACGCGGCGCAGCGCGGCGCAGCGCGGCGCAGCGCGGCGCAGGCAGGAAGTGGAATGTTCATCCAACAACTGCGAGGCTGCACACACGACGCTCCGCTTCCGCAACGTTTTGAAATGCGCCTGGTGGGTTAGGACGCAGGAGGAGGTCGCAGTGCGGCGCAGCCGCAGCGCAGACGCTTCCGGTGGGATCAGGGGGTAAGAAAATGCTGTCTTCAGGGCGGTCGGGTCAGCGTGAACAATGATTGCAGCGAGAACACAATGAAGCATAGCACTGACTTAAGATCACACTCAATAATTCAGAGACCTGCCACAAATGTTTCGTGCCACATTTAACTTGCATGCCAAACTCACTTATTAAATGTTGAGCTTTGAATCTGGCAATACTCGAGCCCTTAAGTATTTGTCTTACACACCACACAGAGGTCATGTACCAATCTCCTCTTATAAGCATGTCTGTTGTTATCTTGAGTTCAATTTAATATGACAGCATGAACTGAATAGGCCAATTCTTTAAGCACCAAAACCTCACATCTTTCTTCATAAAACATGACAGTCAGGAAATAGCTTTAGGAGGCTTCTTTTGAAATGTTTTTTTTTAGCTCTTAATCACAATCCCATTCTCACGGGGCCTGCGGGATAAAACAGCAAATGAAACAACACCCCTTTTGAGAATGACCCTCAATGAGAAGAACTCCCATGAAATCAAACTCCTTATCGCAGCGTGCTCTGTGTATGCGTCACTGTTTACCTGTGAACCATTCGATCAGCGACCCCCTCCACAGATTGATAACGTGAAACATGAAGGCCAGATCCCGCCCAACATTGATCTGCACAAACATTCCCCCCCCCGCTGTCCTGACGTCACCAGTGTCAGTTCACTACAACTAGAGCAACAGTGTGTGACAGCAACACGTGACACGATGTGTGAGAACACTTGGAGTATACACATGCACAGATTTTTACAGAATAAAAGTTGCTTTACACTATATGAATTTAGCGTGTGAAATATGTGTATCAAACTCTAGTAAAAATATTTTTGTATCAGCATTGGTCTGCATTAATTAGTTAATAGTGGTGCTGTTAAACACTATCCAAACACACAGACAGTGAATAAAAAAGATGCAAATATTAGTATGTAAAGGTTGAGTAATGCTGTCGTTCCGTTCAGATATTTCTCTTTTTTTTTTAATCAGTGTTCTTTTGAGAGACTAAATGTGCCTCCTTTTTCACTAATTGCATTAGGATTATCAATTGTTTAAATCTCACATTAGATTTAATCAATTTTACCCCATTTTATTAATGTAATTCCTTCAATTAATCTTTCTCTATGCATCTCTCTTCGGTTTTTAACTCCAAGTTTTCTAACACTTATCCTCTCTTTGTGTTTCTTCATCTCTCCTAATACCCCTCCTTTTTTGCCCATTCCCTCCCTGCAACCCTCCTTCCCTGCCTCTTTCTCTCTCCCTCTTTTTTTCTCCCAGGCGAGTGATGCACGCTGCACACGGTGTGTGTGTGTAGTGTGAGCCAGAGCCATCCGTGTGTGTGTGTGTGTCTGGAGAGAGAGAGAGAGACATAGACTGAGCCCCTAACACGGAGCATGCCTCTGCGTCCGGCAGCCGGCAAACATGAGCCACCCAGCCCTCCACGGCAGGACCAGCGGCAGCAGCACACACACACACACTCACCCACATTCACACACCCTTACACACACACAGCAAACGGCAGCCAGGGGGCCAGCACTGACAGCGGCAGCTCCCGGGAAGAGGACAGCGGCGTTCCCATTCCAGCTTTCTGTCCCGTTGCTGAGCGGAGCCACAGTGCCAGAGCACCCATGGAGGAGCCGACAGGCAACACGGTGGTCATCCGCATTGGAATCCCAGACCTGCAACAGACGGTAAGAGCTCGTTCTGTAGCCACTGTTGAGGAGAGGACGAAAGAGAGGGAAGCTGCCTCTCCCCCTTCCTCTCTGACTGTGTGCTTACTACCTCTCTTCTGTGTGCTCTCAGGATATCGCTTTGTCTCTCCAAAGTATCTTCAGTTGTATCGCTTTCTTTTGCCTATTTGCATTTTCCTCTCCTTTTCCTTCTTCCTACATGTCTTTTTTTTTTGTCTATGCACACTTAGTGGCTGTATTTGCTCTCTGGCTTTTGGGGTTCCACTCCTCCCCGCCTTCTTCCCTGATGTCACGCTAATAAATCTACCTCTTCATTAACTGGGTTCCAGCTGACTTTGACAACTAGCCACTTAGGGGGAGAGCAGGAGAGGAAGGAGAAAGGGAGGGAATGAGGGAGGAAGGAGAGAGAAAAGGCATCAGGGATCAAGAAGGCTCTAAGAGGCGATTGTAAATCCACACTAAAACACAAAGTAGAGAATCAAGATAGCTATACCTGAACTGTAAAACTTTACTTTCACCTCCCTCTCTCTGTGTTTGCTTTGTGCGCAGAGAGAATAGAGATTCAAGCATACATTCTTCTTAATACAAGCTTCACGCAGGAGTTTCCCTGAAGACCTAGTCTGGGGTTTTGTCGTATTGCAACCACATAAAAATGCAGAACTAGTACTATGAGTTTGATCCTTTTATTCCTTTATCTTCCCATATCAACAAACAGTCTAAGGGGTTTCTTCTTTTGTATATACGGTTTACTGCAGAGGGTGGTATGGAATAGGGCGAATGTCACGATCCAAAATAAGTTAATTTTATTCATTGAGCTGTGCAATTGTGATTGAAATGGATTCAGCAACAGCCATCTTGACATCTACTACAGAAACGGTTCTAGTAGTGCTTATTTTAGCTCCTTTGAAGTTAGTCATTCATGATTTACTTCAAAGCATGGACAATATTCCAATTAAAATGTCCATAAGTCAAAGGTTGAAATGATTTTGAACAGAAAGTGACTGCTTGTAATTGCACACAAATGCAGAGAGAAAGCAACACTTTAGCGTTCACTGACTTGATAATAGAAAATAAAGTGGTGTCTATCTGTCCCTGTAGCACACATAAGATCACACATTTAGAGATACCATGTGATGTTTACTATGTAACCAAACACCACACAATCTGTTATTACTAATGTTCCTCTGTGTCTCTTGCTTTTACATTTCAACTAAAGACTCAGCTATTGGTAAAGCAAAATGCAGATTAAACATTAACAGCCTGTCACTGCAGTCTTGTGCTCAGGCACTTCCTGTAGGTGCTTTAGTTTAGACTAGAGTGTCCTTTTGATTCTTTCTCCAGACATTGATCAAGGCAAGTTAAGCAGTTTTTGTGTTATTGTTGATTACCTCATAGTTGTTGGCTTCTTGGCTGAAATGACCCATTGAATCTAAGTGAGGCCCCGGCATTGCACGCTATGAATAAAGACAGGAAATAAAAGGAGTGCAGTTGAAAAGAAGCAGAGAATTCCCCATAGGTGCTGCAGAATCGCCGCCTGTGAACAAAAACATCTTTCAGTTGGGTTCGCACGCACGCACACACACACACACACACACACACACATACACACACACACAAGCATGATCAAGTCATATAGACACATCTAATAATGTACTTTTTGCATGCACACAAAAGCACACATGTCCTTAAATTCTAATCCCAGTGCAAAGGGACTTCTCTTAATGTGCTTATGCAATAGAAAGATGCTCAAAAGATGATTAGTTTCTCTCAAGGAGTCCCATTAAATCCAACACTTGCAGCGTGACATATAAACAAACAGCAAGAGATCCTGAAAGTCTGACAGGCAAACATAGAGGCAGATGACAGATGGGCCGACTGGCAGTTTGAATCTTTGCTAGAGCAGTCAAAAGAGACTTGTGTGTACTTTGAGTGAGCATGGGATTACACTAGAATAGTCCGCCCAAAGTTGGATTACGCACCTCCTGCTGTGTTTCAAGCCTGGATCAGGAGACTGAAGCAACAAGCAAAGAATACACCAGGCTGCACTTTTCCTTGTCAGGAGGAGAGGAGGAAGGCACCATGTGGTGTAGTGCTACCTTTAGTCTAAAATGACTTGATCCACACACTTCCTTCCCTGGTACCTGGCCTGTTATGTCCAATTTTTATACGAGATGATTGACTTAAATATATATTTTTTAGGTATATTTGTGAAGAATTCTACCATATGAATTGTTGTGCATGATATCTTTAGTGGAAATATATGATATATTTATTTATTATGATTATTTTCCGGTTTGTGTTGAATGTATTGGTCTTAGTGTTTGGTGGGAGGCTGAAGTGACTGAATCAGTGGTGATATAAATATTAAGATTGTTAGATTTGGCATTAAAAAGGTTTTGTGTTTTGGTTAGCACATTTTGTCAATTCCCTTTCTGATAAGAAGTTTTCCTGAGTAGGCATACCTATTAATTAACGGAAAATAGAATGGACTTTTGTGATTAAGCTTATGATTTTGACGAAGCCAAGTCCATTATCACATACTGTATAAGAATTGCTCAGTACTGTGTCTTGGCAGTGGGAGACCATTAAGCTGCATTAGCAATGGATCCCACCATTTGTTCACTCAGACTGCAGATTATTATTCTTTTTTTTTGGGATCACAGATATCATTTGTCAGTTATCACGTCCAACTCCACCTGAACTCACAAAGAGACAGCTTCCCAATACTGCTAATGGATGTCATTGATCTCTCAACAGAGAGGGAGACACTGAAATAAATAATCTGCCCCACTACTGTCTACCTGTGTTCATCCTTATTCTCCATTTTCTTGTCTTGTTGCCCCTTTTAGTGCATGCTGTCTCTCTATTAATCCACAGAACTGCTGTCAACAGTATAACGGTGAGGTGATGATTATGTTATAAAATAAAACAAAATCGTAAAATGAAAAAATAAAGATCCCCTTTCCCCATCTAGCCAGGTATGTGTCCTCACGGATGGGTTCTGTAGCTCAGGATTATACATGTAGGGCTCTGCACATTATATTCAATGCATGGAGAACAATTTGATGGTGTGGATGTGCAAGTCCCTGATCCTCTACTATTTTCATCTTTATTATTCCTAGCCGACCTATTTAGGGTGTCTTATTGAGAGAAATCAAAATGGATGGCTTTGAGTGCCCAGTCTACTATATGCAGATTTGTTCTTTTCACATTTCTCACATAATGGGTTTTGCTATTCAGTAAATGTTGTTCCCGGATTGTATACCCTAATCGGTGTTTTAAACGTTCTCAATGGCACGTATGCACAGTCTGCAACTTTGGTTTTGTCTAGTTCGGTAAGTCTGACCCTTTTTAGTCTTTGGTAGGATATTTGGTTATCTGCCACCTCATCTGTCTGCCATGTTCCCAGGGGATTGGTTTCCTGAGGATCCTCCTCTTCCCTTATTGCCGGCGTTCTTCCTATCTGCTGCTGTTTGGAGATATGCTCCCAGCTGTTTATTTTCAGGAGCTGATATACTCGTGGATGCTTAATGTGTCATTCAGGACACTAGCCTTGATACTTACTAAGCCCTTTACTCTCTAGCTGACAAACTGTCTCTTGAAACTGGTTTTGGATGAAATTATCTGTGTAGTGTGACAAGTTCCCTTTACAAGGAGAAGACTAAGATGTGTAATGTTATAGGTATTTAGAAGGCCCTTTGATATTGTGTTGCACAGTTTTCAGACTTTTCACCCTTTTATAAGTAAAGATACTTAACAAAATGAATTAAAAAAGTTGCATTGGTGCATCTACAAGTCAGTGTGATACGCGGAGTGAAGCAGGTAGGACCCAAACGCAGATAATACCTTTATTTCAAGGGCTCTTATCGAACATATCACATGGAAACAAACAAAAACACTCTACGGTGAACTAGGTCACAAACAAAAGAAGCACCAACACTGAACACAGGAAGAGACCAGACTAAATACAGGGAGGGGTAATCACCAGACGAGAAACAGCCGGGCAGGGGAGGAGAAACACAAGGGCCACAGGTGAACACAATCAAACAATTAGACACACCAGGGAAACTAACGACAGGGAGGAAAAACCCAGGGAGAGGGACCAGACAATACACAAGGAGGAAAACATGACAGAGAGAACAGAAACACACCCATAACAAGACATACAAAACTAAAACGTGACATAACACAAGCATCATGACAGAACCCCCCCCCCTCAAGGGACGGATTCTAGACGTCCCTAAACACCAAAACAAAAATCCAACAACGTCCAGCAGGGTGGAGGGGGTCCGGAGGACGACCCTTGGCTGACAGCCCAGGGCGAGGCAGAGTTCGAAGAGGGGGTCTCGGGCGGACGGCCCGGGGGCAAGGCAGAGTTCGAGGAAGGGGTCTCTGGCGGACGGCCCGGGGGCAAGGCAGAGTTCACGGAAGGGGTCTCGGGCGGACGGCCCGGGGGCAAGGCAGAGTTCAAGGAAGGGGTCTCGGGCGGACGGCCCGGGGGCAAGGCCGAGTTCGAGGAAGGGGTCTCGGGCGGACGGCCCGGGGGCAAGGCAGAGTTCGAGGAGGGGCGAAGACCAGACAGCTCCGGAGGCCGGGCAGGAGCCGGTGTCGACCGGACAGAATCCGGAGCCGGTGGGACAGGTGTCGCCAAGATTCCCCACGGAAGAGGACACAGGGCCGGCCGCCGGCAGGACCCCCGGCCGGAGAGCAGTCGGCGGAACCTCCAACGACACGGGACATAGGGTTGGCAGGACCCCCGGCAGAAGAGTAGTCTGCGGGACCTCCAACGACACAGGACATGGGGTTGGCAGGACCCCCGGCAGAAGAGCAGTCTGCGGGACCTCCAACGACACAGGACATGGGGTTGGCAGGACCCCCGGCAGAAGAGCAGTCTGCGGGACCTCCAACGGGACAAGACATGGAGTTGGCGTCGGCTGGAGAGCCAGCAGGAGCCGAGGTGCCGGAGTCGGCCGGTACGCCGACAAGACTCGGGGAGCTGG